TTCCTTCCTTCCTTCCTTCCTTCCTTCCTTCCTTCCTTCCTTCCTTCCTTCCTTTCCTTCCGTGTCCCTGTGTCCTCCGTTTTCATTGACATAGTGCTGCAGGAGGCCATTGCAGCCAAAAACGGGACCTGAGAGGGCTGCAGTGGTCCTCCCGAGTTCTGTTTTTACTGGTAGAGGCACTGCGGGCCAGTCCTTTGCTATTTCCAGGGCAGCCCCACAGGCCAGATCTAAGCCACAGGCCTTGAGTTTGACACCACTGCTGTAGACATTTGATCCTTACCCAGTTCATAAGAACAATTAACAATCTAATAGCAATTCCAGAAGTATTTTAAAATGAAATTACTGTCTCTCTAAAGCAGCGGTCGCCAACCGGTGGGCCGCGGCCCACTGGTGGGCCGTGAGAAAATTTTGGTGGGCCACAGAGAAATCTACCCTCAGAGCACCCCCCCAAAGCAATTAATCCAGGCTGCGCAGAAACACAAGGCTGCTCAGCCCACATGGCCCATGGGAACCCTCCCCGCCCACTCACTCCTTACCCGGCAAACTTGTCTGCTAAGTTGCTATTTTTCCTTTTTCCGACCATCATCTGTTCTGCTATGCCGAGAGATTTAGATTAGCTAGGAAGCAGGAAATGGTTGGATTTCTTGCTTTCTAGCTAAGCAGAGCCGAACCTCCCTTAGGACTGAAGGTTTGCTTGCAAGCAAATTTAGTGCAGACTCATGGCAAGCAAATTTGAGAGACTGAGCTAGCCGATGGCAGATAGATAGATCACTCAATGATTCTGTGAGCAACTCAATCTGCCTGCTTTGCCTGATTTTGGATAAAAGTTGCCCTTTTTATAAAAAATTCAATATTTACATGCATGTGTGTTGTGAGTTAATTTTGTGAGTTTGCTTGCTAGCAAATTTTATGAGTTTGCTTGCAAGCAAATTTTGTGTGACAGACTGAGCTAGTCAATGGCAGATAGATAGATCTCTGTATGAATCTGTGATTCTGTGAGCAACTCAATCTGTCTGCCTGCTTTGCCTGATTTTGGGTAAAAGTTGCTCTTTTTTATATAAAACATTCAATATTTATATTTACATACAAGCCATGCCCAGCCAGTCACATGACCACCAAGCCACACCCACAAATTAGGCCACTCCCACAGAACCAGTTAGTGGTCCCTGGGATCTAAAATTATGAGTTTGGTGGTCCCTGAGGTCCAAAAGGTTGGTGACCCCTGCTCTAAAGCACTATGACATTCAATATGGAACAGGAGAGTATTACCTTGCCTTGTTTTGCAATTGTATGAATAAGGAAATCAGTTCTCACGTTGTCAACATTTGGAACCAAAATAGAGCCATATTCTGGTGTACTGTTAGTAGGATATACATATTCTTCAACACATGTATTCCAATGCATCCAATTACCTAGGTAGGGGAAAAAATTCTAGAAATTTGACAGCAATCTATCTGAACTTTAAGTTAAAGTAAGGTCTTATTGTGATTTTATGTCTTATTAGTTGTTCAAAATAAAATGGAAATGCAACCAAATTAAAGTGCCATTTTTGTCCATAGTAAACACTAGCAAAATGGTTGAACTGTATAATTATGGGACAAATAACATAACCAAATATTAAATAAAAAATAAAAGAAAATAATTTTATAAAATATAAATAGAATTTTCTCCAACATGTCTGCTATTTAATTAATGTACTGTGTCTATATTTAATTAGCACGTAACAAGACATTTAGGGATTAGCTTGATAGAACTTTTGAACATTTTCCTCATTTAAATCAATACAAGTATAGAAGAAAAACCTAGTGCCAGTTTAGTTAATTTAAAAAATACCCAATGTAAAGCCATTCAGAGGCAAAGAAAAGGCATGGCACAGGTTGGCAGAGTTCCCATATTTCAGATTTAGAAAAAGGTACTCCAAATAATTGATTCTTTATATCATGTAAAACATGTTGCACAATGTATTCATTTGCCTCCTCTGCCAAAATGAAAAATGAAAAAAAAAACATTAGCTGATTGCAGTTGCAGCACGTTTTTGCCACTTAAACATGCATTTTCTCTTTCTCTCTCACATAAAACAAATCAAAACAGCAGTTCTTATCACCCAAACCATAGCCTGACCTCTTGTGTATTTAAAAAATTTCTTTCTCTTTCTCTTCATGTAAAACAAATCAAAACAGCAGTCCTTATCACCCAAACCATAGCCTGACCCCTCATGACTCATAGAAACAACAACTCTATTTATATGTTTACTGGCCACTCTTCTTTGTTACAATCAGAAACAGCAGGATAAAGCATTCTATCTAGAGACTGGGAAGGCCTATTCATTCTTTTTGACTGCTGCCTGAGATGTTATCACTACTGTCAGAATCCTGGATTTCTGGGTAGTTTTTTTTCCCACCAAGCCAGTGAAGTTCAGCTGTAGAAACTGAGTTTATTAAAAATGAAAGCCCTTAGGAAATATATCCGTGCAGTTTACCCAACAGTAGGTCAAAGATGCCTTGTATCTCGCCAATTTAGAACTAACTTAGCAAAACACAGGGCAAATGAAATAGAATTTAAAATGGTTGACATTGGCTTATGTAGAATGTGTAAGCTTTACATGTAGAGAGGAAGGGGGAGGCAATCACACTAACTTCCCCTCAATCTCAACAGTTATCACATCTCAGTGCAGAGGACTATTAACACTGGACAGCTGGAGAGCTGGTGTGTGTGTGTGTGGACACTCTCCTTGTACCATAGTTTTAGAAGTCACATGTGTCTTCTATAAGCAGAAGGTTATGAAGAGGATAGTAACAGCAATTACATAATCTCTATTGCTCCTTTCATAAACTTCTATAGGGTTTGGAGTAACTGAAGGTTATACAAGTATACAGTAGATATTTAAATGCTGAAGATTCTCCAGCTCAAGAAATGAAATCCTTATTGAATAAACTGCAGTGGAAGATCTCAAATTATGAGATGTGATCTAGCTACATTATATAACCTAGACCTTTTTGACAATAAGCCATAGCAACTTTTTGAGAGTTCACACACCATCGTTGGTAACATAGTAGTCGAACATTGTGTCTTCACTTCCTTCTGGGATATTAGGAAGATCAAGGTTTATAGTTTCATGACTACGAAGCCAGTGCTCCAACTTCCAACGGTCTTCCAATTCCAGCAATGCCCCAATGCTCCACATCAGGGAGAAGATGTACAATCTTTCTAGGTATTCTGCAGTAATTTCCACACCTTGGTCCTAAGTCATGAAAAACAATGATTTTAATCACTGAACTATTCTAAATTCAGAAACATTTAGAAACCATACTTTTTCAAGGATTGGACAGTTGGTATATTTTTAAGTAGCAGACAACTTTCACTGAAGAGAAGGCAAGACTGAGCCACACTACACCTAATATGAATGCAGCAGTCAGGATTCAACATGTAATATACAGTAGAAATCAGAAGCTTCAAAAATACATTAATAATATCTGCTTTTAGAGAGGCAATATGTTATTTATATTTTATAACTTAATAGTATAATTTATATCAATTAATTCAGCCAATGAAAGATAAGGCTAATTTGAAGTTTTATTAGCTTTTTTTCTTTTAAAATTCAATTTTATGGGCAAATCTTTAATTGAAAAATAAAAACTTTAAAGTGAAATTTTCTTTGGATTTTAAACATTAATACAATGCCTTTTTGCCACTATTTTAATCTCTAGAAAAGGTTTATTGCTGGAAAAAAATAACAGATTACAGGAGCCCTAATGATTAATGATTTGTAGTTGAATGAAATCAGGCACTAGAAAAGAATGCATAAAATTTAATATTTCTGATGGATGACAATTAAGAAATTGTTTGGTTAAAGAAATAATAGGATGAGGTGCACCAGAGATGAGAAGCAGCACAGCTGTGTCTCCTATAGTCTAAAGGCTCCTTTTTCCGAAAGCTCCCATTGGGAATTGCTATATTATGGTCTCCTTGCAATGAGGACACCAGTAATTTTTGTAAATTATAAATATTTCAGAGAGTTTTAACTGCCAACCATGGCAAGAAAGGATAAAATAAGATCCAGTAACATCAAGGTCAAACTTGATCAAATTCTTTTATTGGATCTGTGTTTTGCTGAGATTCTGAAAATCAGCATCTTATGTAATGCAGTACGTCACAAAATATTTTTGCGACATATTTTGATCAATCACTGTCATAATTGATTACAATTATTTCAGGGGCCTGAAAACAGTACAGTCACAATTTGGGAACTCTTTTTTCTAACATCATCTTGAAAACTATGATTAACTCCTTATGTAGACAAAAGATTCATTGTATGGGACAATTATATGGGTTTAGAACAATAGTATGTAAAGGCAAGCAATTATTTAAATTAGCTCAGCAAAATTTTCACTTTGAGACTTCCTTTTTAATAAGGAGATACTGTATTTATGGTCTTGAAATAAAATACCAAGTCATAGGCATAAATGAATTTACAATTACTTTCAACATCAATGTTCTTGAAAGATATTCCAATAACATAATTATGAATGAAGTAACTCTTTAAGTTACTCTTGCAGTCCATGAAACTATACCACAAGAGCATATACTCATTATTCTGGAGAAAAAATGTAGATTTCATACTTTTCCATAGAACTATGTGCTAGTGCAATGGAGCAATAAATCATCATAATCACGAGTCCAATGACAGGCTTTGGGCTGATGAGAGCAAAGATAATTGATGAATGAAGTGTCATGAATTCCATCAGGCATTAACACCGCATTAGCAAGATAAGGAGATTTAGATTTCACCTGATAACTTTGTATGATTTTGTACATGTCTACATCACTATGATTTCATGCTGAACAAAAGAACTTGCTACCATACCATCATGAATAAAAACATTCTGGTGCTATATTTATTTTAAATCTAATGGCATCTCCCTTCTTTTAATCACAAATTTGGCCAATAAATATAACTTTGTTTTGGTATGATTGCAGGTTGAATGGAATGAGATAAATGATTCAATACCAGCGATGAACTAAACATACTTATATTGCTTTTAATATACATTGCCATGGTATATCCCGGACATATTAAGTTAGCTGTCTGTCTAAAAGCCAATTTGATGCATTGTTCTCACTAAGATATTGAATTCTGGATGGGTCACTTTCAGCCCTAGACTGGAAAATCAAATATCATCCATCCACAAATCCATACTAGAAAAAATCAGTTACATTCCATAGCCACCAATGAACACACCTTAATCCTGTACTGGATGAATTTCAAATAATAATTTTTTTTAAAAAATGGTGCCGCAAGAAGGATACAAATATGAAGTATTAATAGAAACACTTGGCATATTACATGAGCCACTTTAAAAAGAGTACTGGCTCTAATTATAGAAAATTAATCAAAGAATTTTTGAGAAGAAAATTAAATGTAGGAACATAAGCCATAAACACTTGGACTGTAATAATTCAATATATTACAGGTGTAATTGATTAGGCACAAGCTCAATTAGACATTCTTCATAGGGAAACAAGAAAATTAATGACCATGAATCATGCTTTTCACCCAAGAAGCAATGTTGACAAACTCTATTATGCCACTGGGAGAGATTTGCTCCAAGTAAAACAAACAATGAAAGAAGAAAAACACTTCTTGAATGATTTTAACATGCATAGTAAGTAATGTCTATTGGTAGAAATTTGTAAAGAAAAACTACTGAAGACTGCAAAATAAAAACACCATAAAAAGGAATCAATTGGAAATATAATTGTGTGTGTGTGTGTGTGTGTGTGTGTGTGTGTGTGTGGAGAGAGAGAGAGAGAGAGAGAGAGAGAAGAAGAAGAAGAAAAGAAGAAGAAGAAGAAGAAGAAGAAGAAGAAGAAGAAGAAGAAGAAAATTAAATAAATGTCTTGGTATTGGTTGAAAAATAAAATTTGATAGAAAAGTAAAAGAGAGAGAGAGAGAGAGACTAAAGCAACAATCATAGCAGCATAAGAACAGGTTACAAAAACAAACATCACACAGAATATCAATTACAGTTAGCTCTACTTTAGCACTGCATTGGATAGCAACTGTAAATGCAACTGTAATAAATTAATTTTTCTATCAATGAGCATATTTATCAGAATAAAAGCCTTCAGTATCAAACTGATTAAGTTTTGGTCAGTTTCAGGCAGCAGCTGGGAGCTGGCTGGATGTCAAACTGGCAGCCTCTGAGCCAGATGCATCATGCACAGGCTATGCCCACCCCAGCTCTGCAAAGGCAAAAAATGTTACAATATGTCACACGGTGTCATGTGACGTGATCAAGTTTCACACCAGTGTTCTAATCCATTAATTAAGTCACAGGGCTGGGTTTGTAAACTTGTAGTTAACATTTTTCACTCTATGTCAGTCTATGTCAGTGGTCCCTAACCTCTGGGCTGTGGCCCGCTAGTGGGCCGTGAGCTGTTTATAACTGGGCTACAGAAACAGCAGGCGTGTATATTTGAGTGCAAAAACATCCTCACTTGTGCGAGCAGCGGGCAAGCACGTGCATGCGCACTCCATTTGCTTGAGCGGCTGGCCCATGTGCACGTCGCTCGCACAAATTAAAGGCATGCGCATGCGTGCTTGCTGGCCACTCATGTAGAACTATCCCCTCTCCCCTCCCACCAGTCCACAAAGCTGGGAAGGTTAGGGAACTCTGCTCTATGTGCCCTCTGCACTGTAGAGAAAAGCGGCTCAGATTGCATTTAAGCAATCCATCTGTCTTGTCAGAGGGCAACCTCCTTCCCTGAAGAAAATAAACAGCCTCTTTATTAAAAATTATAAATGAAAAGAACAAAAGTATTTTTTTTTAAACCCTACCTTGCTTGGACCTGATTACTTACTGATAGTCCATGATTCCCATGCTTTTGATTAGAACTTGAGTCACTGGAAAATATTTGTGACAATCATCACCATCATCATCATCAATCTGTCTGAATAACATAAATGATTACCTTGCAGGGAATAAGGCCCTGAAGCATATTAATGCTCTGCATTATCACAAAGGCTTCTAGCATCTCAATCTTGTATTCCAAGGACTGAATACTAAACCGGTAAAGGTCTGGAAAGGACGTTGTGTACAATTGACGCAAAATCTCTGCTTCCTGTAGAGTACGTCTCTTTAGAAAACCCTGTTATAATTGAAAGCAAATCATGAAACTTTTGAAATTATTATCCAAATTTACCAGCTCGAGAAACTAGAGTTTAATATTAATCCTCTAATTTTTTTATTTTCTAGAAGAAATTATATTTTTCACCAAAACATTTTGTTTTGGGCAAGAGAATAATTGTCTATACTGGAGGCCAATGTTTGATCTTATCTGCTTCCCAGATAGGCGATAGTGGAATGATGAAGGTTAGCGTATCAGATGCAAATTTTATATTGGAGAACATTTAATCAAAACATTCAATACTAAAAAATGTCAATGGTGAATCTAAGCTGGAACACAGTTAATGAATGCCTTAAACAACAGCTTGAGAAAGAGCAAAAAGTTGTGTAGTAGGTGCAAAGTTAATCTAAAGTATGAAAGAGATATTTCTCTCATTCTGACTCCATTAAAGTACTAACTAAATTTCTGAATGGTGGTTGTTGAGTTCATTTATATTGATTTTGTATCCTACTTTTCTAGTCAAAGAAGTCCTAAAGGCAGCTTTAAAAATTTCTTCACATGCCGGTCATCTAGTCACAATGCAGCCAACACTGGGACAACTCTTCTCCTATGTGGTTCACTAAGTCCAATGTAAGTTTAAACTTTTACTGGATTCTTCACTTTTGTCACAGAAGCCATCAGACTACTATTGTGGATAAGGGCAAATTTATCTGCAATTTCTTCCTCATTTTGAGGGGTGGAAACCAATTCCTATGGAGTTGTCAGAGACTCCATCCCTTGGCTGGCTAAGATTGATGAAGCATAATTCTAGATGTCTGTCAATGACATAAAATTTACTGCTTGGCAGCCTGATCTTTACACTCATTTAGCTGTCTCCTCTCCCTCATATTTGCCACGAGAGTCGTCTCTCCTCTTTTCTCTTTTCTTAATGTCCTGACCTTCCAAATTGATTTGCAGTTGTCCCTATCGGGTTCTCTTCCTCTCTTCCCATGTCCTTCTGCTTAGTCATTAATCATATTACTCATCCCAATAATTCAATACTCTATTTTACCACATACAAATGATCAGATTTGCTGGTGAAAAAAATGTGTATTAAGACCTTCTTCCACATGTTACTGATTAGATTGCCATGTTCTCCTGTTCTGAACATTGCAGTCTCATATCCTGGTGGTGGGACCTAGTCTGGACTGACGACAATTTCTACGATTTTAGCATTGATTAAAATCCTGGAGTGTTTGCCTCATTGGTAAACACTAACTTAGGTACATAGCTCATTAAATCATGGGTAAGATTCTTAAAGTTTACGTTCAGTTCCTTTTCAACCATGGAAATCCATGGGCGGCCTTGTTGAGCATTCTTGCCTCTCATCTTAGAACCTTTCTCAAACTAATTTGGGAGGCAAGGCAAAGCTGAGGTTACATAGGAATACAATGGAAAGTGGAGCAAGGTAATATTAGAGGCATACTGAAGTTGTGAGTGTTACTCCTTTTCAGAAGGCCTTCCAATTATATGATGTTTACATAGTATCATATCAGAAATATGTGTAAAACATAGGAAATGGAGTTATGTGTTTGTGTCATAAGATTGTAGAAAGATGTCCCTTCCCATACACAGCTGATGAGGGGAGGAAGTCAACATGAGATAATATTTTACATGCCACCTGAACTCTTTAGTACATTTCAGGGGTAGTATCATAGCTTCATCTAAAGACAGCAACTCATAAGAAGACGCTTAAGATCCTGTCAAGCTCTTCACAACAATTAAATGGGACTGAATGTTAGACAACAGATGAGTTCCCAGTAGTTCAAGAACCTGATCTAACCTTATTAATACAGTCACTCCTCTAGAAAGAGACAATGGCACCAAACTAAAAATCTGAAGATATGAAACACAAAGCTTTTAAGACTTCAAAATTGACTATCAGTGCTTTGAATTGGGAGATACAACGAACAGTAGAATCCCTGATTAAGAAAAATCAGTTGTATGGCATGTTATAGTAATTTACTATACACATATATGTTACAGTAACACACACATGTGCACCACATACCATATATACCATACCAAATATGGATATGGTAATCATATTCCTATAGAAGAATCTTGAACCAGAGTTCATAATAACTTCACTTAGAACATTATGGTTGTAATGTTAAATGTTAAGATGGTTAGCAATTGACATTATTGGTACTTAGTAGCTAAACTACTGAAAGTAATGGCTGTGGAAGTAAATACATTGGTTTATTAGACAGCTAAATGTATATTCAGAATATGTTACAGATTCTTCTATAATTCATTCATATCCTAACTTTAACAGTCTGAAACAAAGAGTTTGAACTCATAAAAGCAAATATACCTCAAGAACTGGGCTCCAGTTGAGAACAGATGAACTCATAAATACCATGCCATTCCTTGACACTGTTGCAGGAGAAGCATTGTCAATATTATGAGGCTCAAAAACAATTTTACAATTTGGTGCCATAGGAATCCGATCTCCATTAGCCAGGGTCAATGTTTTGTTATCATCAAGCACTGAGTTCAGATTTTCAATCCAAATGGCATCCACAGGACCATCAAGTACTATCCAGATGTGTTCTCCTATACCCAAAGGAAGGAAAACATTTCTTGTAAAGAGAGTATTTTGAGATACAATCATTTTCCTCATCATAGAATAGATATGAATATGATTAAAAAGTAGAAACAACATAGATTAATTTGCTGTGTGATAGTTATAGTCAACTTCTCAAGTGGCTCTGAAGATAAGTGGATGATCTTAGACAAGTTCCTACTTAAACTTGCAGAAGTGAAATGCAGAAAAGCCTCATTTAAATCATTTCTTTGGCTCTCTCCAGCAATTCTGAAAAGCAGAAAAGGAATATTCTATTCAATAGTAATAGATTCTATTTAGTAGTAATAGGTTTCTCAAAGCAAGTAATATGCTGGGGAAACATTACTTACAAGATACTTGACATTTTTATTTTACATGTAAAGCCCTTGACAGATGACACCTAAGCAATAAAAAGTCATCCTCCTATTCTCTTTCCCCATCTGTCAAAGCTGCCATTCAGCAATTTTGATAAGAACTGCTTCTTAATCTGAGAGGACAAAAAGTATCCATACATAGTCAGCAGGCTAAGGATGCTAATAAAAAGAGATGTTTAAACTTTGGGTGGGGGGGAATGCAGAAAAGAGCAACTAAGATTATTAAAGGCCTGGAGACTAAAACTAAGACTAAAAGGAAGGACTAGGGGTGACATGATAGAAGTATTCCAGTATTTGAGGGGCTGCCACAAAGAAGAGGGGGTCAAATTATTTTCCAAAGCACCAGAAGGCAAGACAAGAAACAATGGATGGAAACTAAAGAGAAAGAGAAAAGAACCTGGAATTAAGGAGAGACTTTCTAACAGTGAGGATAATTAACCAGTAGAACCAGGGGTGGGTTTCTACCGGTTCTGTCCACCTCTGTGGAACCGGTAGCTCTGAAGAGCAGCAGACATAGAACCGGTTCTATGTCTGCTGATGTTTTTGCTCACCCGTCCACCTGGGCTCTTACCTGACCTTTATTTCCTGATTTTTTTCAACTTCAGCTGCTGTGCGAGGCACAGCTGCAGTTAAAAAAAACAGGGAAAAGGGGCTTTTTGAAAAGCTGTTTCTCTGCACGCAGCGTGCTGATGACGATTTACAGGCGCCCGCTGGCAGAAGCACATCATAAACCACCAAACCTCGTAAATGACCGAACTGGTAGTTAACCCTATCGGATCCCACCCTTGAGTAGAACAGCTTGCCTTCAGATGTTGTGGATGTTTTATCACTGGAGGTTTTTAAGAAGAGACTGGACAGCCTCCTATCTGAAATGGCATATGGTCTCTTGCTTAAGCAGGGGGTTGGACAGAAGATCTCCAAAGTCCCTTCCAGATTCTATTCCATTCCTATTCTATTCCTATCCTACCCCATCCTATCCTATCCTATCCCATCCTATTCTATTCTATTCTTATTCTATACCTATTCTATACCTATTCTATACCTATTCTATTTCTATTCTATTTCCTTTGCATTGTATTGCATTGCATTGCATTGCATTGCATTGCATTGCATTGCATTGCAT